GAACAGTCATAAGTATACTTAAAGTCACGTGGTATTAAATATCCTGAGTCTACCAATACCTTAATCTTATGTGTTTCACCCTGAAACTGCTGTATCATCTTTGTGGTTTGGTTATGAACAGCCTCTATGATTTTACCATGTTCTGCAAAATGTTTGTTCAAGGTTTCCACTGCTTTCTTTGCTTCCTCATATGGCTGAGATTCCGGAGGAGGTGGTACAAATACGTGTAGGCCAAATGTGTGATTGGAAATAAAAATGACATCTGACAAAAGTCTGTTGGTGTAATCTGGGTCTGTGGAGTTAATTCGTCGGAATAGATGTTGCTTACGAGTTGCATTCATGTGTTCAATCATCATAGTGTTATAATGTATATGGCATCCTACTTTCAACGGTAGAGTTTCATTATAAGTTATGTTTTGCCATCTTCTCACCATATAGTCCATGGGATGACATGTCAGCAATCTGTAGTTACCTAGGTCCATCAAGGTGCTTTTCGGCATAGAGATTGTTATATCCGATGTTAAGGGTTCGTCTGATACTAAGTTAAAAGCAATCATCGTTGATTTACCCAAACTGTAGGTTGCATCTGCAGGAACATAGAATGACGTATCATTCCATGTTAGCCAATAAAAAGTTTCGTATGGTAATATCCATACATCTCCAACTTTACGTGGTACTGGTTTTGTTGGATATCCAATAACCGCTGATGTTGTAGGTATCTGCCATAGATGAATCACACAATCTCCCATATCGCAATGCGAGTCTTGTGTGGGGTCTAACACTGTGAAAGAAGTCGCTGTTTCCATACCTATACCTGTTTGGAACAACACTCGTAAATCCTCTAACGATGCCTCCATTATTATAGCATTGCTCCAATATGAGCACATTCTTGGTTTGCTTCTAGATGTTTCAACCTTGACTCAAATACTTCATTCGTCGTCTGCACCACTGTATTGAGGATATCAATTTGTTTCTTTAGCATCGCTTGTTCTATATTAATTCTATCAATCAGTATTGATGCAGAGTGTAAATTCTTCGATATACCTGCAATCACTGATGCTTGTTTACCCTGTAAACTTTTTAATGCATTAATTTCAACTCTGAGTTCTTCCGTCATTGCACCGGCGATCAACGCTCCAAGAGCGGCTCCCGCGATGAAAGCACCTACCGCCGCTAGCTGTAACGGACGTAGTCCTGCGGCATTTCGTGCTATGCTGTAAAATAAATCTGGCAGCACATATTGCCATTTCTCCGAGCCGCATACTTCGGTATCCCTGAATGCTTGTCCAAGTGAGAGCCATAGTCTCACTGGTTGGATCGCAGGGTGCACCAGGAATCTCAGTGGTTGTCTTAGAAGTGGCAGATATGCTGGGGCTTCAGTGGTCGTCATTTTTCCTTTTGGCGGAAACAGGGCACTTCTAGGGTAGTGGGCTGTCACCCACCCCCTGGTTTTGTTGAATCCACCTCTGTATATTAAACATGGTTTGAGCGATCCAGGCGTCACTCTGCAGTCTTTCATTGTCATCTTATAGGCATATATCTTATGAGTTCCTGCATAACTGTCGTAAATGTCCATTGTATTCCGTAAGACATCATGAGACACAATGTCATACATCCACCAGGAATTGTCGTTTTCCAATGCTGGCAGTAGCATATACCAATAATATGGCAGTTTTCCTGTATGTATTACGTTTTTCCATTTGGAAAAGTCCATGCCTGCTGTCATCCACCATCTCAAGGTCTTGTTGTCTGCAGCTTCTACGTGATACCGGATCTTAGTGTCCCATAATTGCATACTTGGACATCCATCTTCTGGTTCCACATCATCATCCATCACAGTCTTCTTTGTTAATAACATTACTTCATCTATTTTTGGATATTTGTATGTTAACGCTGTTGCCCTTGGTTTCAATGTATGTCTCACCGTAGATTCCCAATACGTTGTTATATGGGAAGCATTCACCGCATCCATTGGGATGTCATATACTGACACATTATCTTCAATGGATCTGTGAACTCCATGTATTATGGCGATATTAGATGGGAACCATCTGCAGTTGGATCTTTCTAATGCTACAGGTACTCCTTGTGTATCGTTGTAGATTCTCTTCTTGCCCATCATAGGTATACTGATGTTATGTAGGGCGTCTCTAATTGTTGAGTTGGATATGTTAAACACAGGTATTAAAGATGACATAAAGTGATCATAAAATTTATAGGATAAATCCGAATATGGCTTTCCTTTTTCTGCCAATGCTGATCCGTTGAATGAATAGTCTACTTGTAGGAATGACACGTTCCATTTTAATCCTTTCAGTATGTCTGTTGGTGTAATTACTAAAACTGGTTGCCATGGTGAGTCGAACGCTTCATGTGTTTTATTTCTTATTAGATGTATATGTGTTGCATTAAGTAGAACAGTATGATCTTCCTCCGGTATGCAGTTCTCCCTTGAAAAATTGTAACACCATGTCCAGTTCCACATGGGATTTTGTGTTCTGTTAAGGATTCTATTATCAGTCCAGAACGATTGATTGAAGGTCACAAACTGAATGCTACTCACGTTGGTATGTCGTTCATGGCATACACCTTCATTTATTTCCGTTGTATCCCGTTCCTTTACTGTATTCTTAAACGCATATTGTCTGGTTTTGTTATGATATAAGATCCATCCTTCGTGATGGAACATGGGAAAAAGTGGCGTCTGCCACGTAGGATCTAGTCTGGAAGGATGCAGGAACATACATGGTACCATTTGAGGATAGGACATTGTATCTAACACCTGTCCTGATACCTTATACCAATACCTGTATTTGCAAAACTTTATCAGTCCCAGGTCATACGGAAAACATACGCGTCCTATGAATGCAACACCTGCTGACCTATTTTGCATTTCTCCAAAAATACTGCGAACACACACATACCCTATATTTTTAAGCTTACTTGGTGGCGTATACGCCCATCATGCCATATTATGCGTAAACGGCTGTGGAATCGGGTCAGTCAATAACACTGGTGATCTCCATGTTTCTGTTCCTAGAGTCAGCACTTTCCACCAATCTTCCACTGGCATGAAAGATATGTTGGAAATATGTACGTCTGAGCGGTATGTAGACAGGATGTCAAATGCACCAAATATCGGAAGGTTTGGAAAGTCCGCAACTCATGTTACGAAATCTGTGTATCCCAAGGTTTTATTTTGCAAGTCATCTAACCAGATTGTCATCTTATGACCTTCAGAACTCATCAAGTCCAAATAGTCCTGTAATTCCTTTGGACAATAGGCCCCATACGGTTTCTTGAGAGCTTCTGGCCATCTTGCGACTGGTCTTGCTCCCTGCAAATGT